ATTTCCATTGAAATGAATTTTAAAACTGTTGAAAATAAACATGTCAAGAACCTACTTCAAGATTATGATTCAGGAGTTCAGAAGTTCTGTGGAAGAGCCTAAGCACCTGCATTGGCCAAGCACCTGCATTGCACTTTAGGTTCTAAGATAATTTTGATGCACAACCAAGATTTAAAAGGTAAGGCAATTAAAGAACACTTTAACTATTTTGTAGTTGGATCAGTATATCCTTCTTGTTCAATTTGGTAACTATTTATTTAACTCATCCAACATTTGCAAAGATTTAGAATCTGTTTAGTATGTGATAGATTAAACACTGCTTCTAGATTTATACAGTATCTTTTGCTTGTATATCTATAAATAACAATGGAGTTTAGAAACCTCTGGACCTCAGTTTCCAAAGTCATAATATAAGGAGAGATGCATAGTACCCTGGTTCAAAAGAAATATGTCAGAGCCACACCTGTAAATTAATTTGATAATGCATACATATAAGACCAGGAAAACTAAGGCAAATTCAGAGGGAGGGATCCAGATGAGATGACAAAACAGCAACCATATTGCTTAATCCAGAATTCAAACACACAAATGAGTCAAAGGTCACGATGTTGCAGTCAGTCAGAAACCAAGAAGAAAAGGAAAATTTAATGATTGCATGAAAGGTCAGAGCACACAGCAGGTGAGTGAGAGATAAGAAGGCAGAGATGAACTGGTGGCTTCCAAAGCTGGAAGGCAAGGCAGAGGGCCAAAAGCTCAGGCAGGTCAGCAGGAACCAGGTGATCTACAAATAAGATGAGCAGAAGAACAGATGCCAGGAACCAGGAAAAGGGAGCACTTGCTTCCAAGGCAATCTTCAGACCCTGGCAGGAAGCTTCTTAAACACTTCCTGCTGCAGCAGGAACCAGTCTAGGCCTGTAGATGGAAGCAAGCAAATGCATGAAAATGGAGAAGGTGAAGCTTATGGGAACAAGAATAGCCTAAGATCTCTGGTGAATAATGTTAGCCAACCACAAAGACACAAAACCAATGTGAACCCATATTTATACTAAATATTACTAAAACAGAAGTTTATATTTAAGAAACTATGAGACGTGCCTGAAAAAAAAAAATCAGAATAACATGTAAAAAGAACAGTGCAACACACATACTAATTTAACTCATTCATTCATTCATCCTGTCATTTATTCAACCAAATAACAATATGGAATGCCTTCAACTTTCAAGCCCTGTGCCAGGTGCTAGGTATACCAGGATGAAAACAGACACCCCACTGATCATATTGTCGAATAGAGCCAACAAAGGTAGAATTATTACAATATAATGCATTAAGTCTTAACTTTAGAGTGAAGGGAGGTGAAGCCTTAAAGAATTCACAAGAGTGAGTCAGGGGAGAATGTGTTCCACTGCAAATGAATAGCAGGTACAAAAACAAGACGGGAAGGGAAGGAGGGCGTGTTTAAAGATTTGGAAGTAATTCAGCATGGCTGGGGCATATGTTGTGCAGTCAGAAATAATGCAAAATTAAGGCCACAGTATAGATAGGGGAACCTCTAATGAAAGACCATATTAAAATGTTTGTAGTTTATCCAAAATATAATTTTCTCTGACTAAATAATTTCAAGTAATACATCCAAGGCTCTGCAACAGAAAATGGAAGATGAACTAGAATACCAAATAACATATGAATTCAGCCATGCACTTGTCCATCCATGGAAATAACAATCTGGTTAAAAATGAACTGGTTTTAACCTTTAGTCTTAGAAATTTAAAGGAGGATAGGGGAGTGGATACAGCTCCAAATAGTTACATAAATTTTATTTTGCCTGTTCCAGGCATTGTTGTTGATCAAACACCTCAAGAAACTCTACCAGATTAAGGGCTCTAGACAAATCTAACTTTATACTATTTTAATTTAAATAAGAAATTTAAACTTCACAAATATATGAAAACAAAAGATAAGCAAAATAAATAGTTACCACATCAAACTAGAAAGAGATATTAATCCAACTATAAAAAAGTTATGGGTAAAGTTTTTAATTGCTATGCCTTCTAACTATTTGATATAATGTCAGTTATGGAAGAGTCCTGAGGAAGACTGTAAAAAAAAAAAAGTGTTTACAGATTTTATCCCTTTTCTAGTCATGTCTCTACCTATTCAATTTTTATCCATACTCTTAGGATGCTGGAAAAACTCTACAACTGGGTAGCTTCAAGATATGACAAATCTGAGGGCCAGACCTCAGTCAGCCTCCATGTCCACCAGGTCTTATTCAGCATTCTTTCCCATTTCCCTCAGCAGTTTTGCCAACTTTCACCTCTTTCCCAAGTCTTCTAACCCATTCTCAGCAAAGTGCTTTGCTCTCACTCACTAGATATAGGAATTCACTATAAAAGGTTACACCATAGTGTCCTAAAGATTGTGAGATCAGCAAACAACCAAGGAAAACTCCAACCCTTAAGGAAAACCCAGATCGTAGTTGGCCCTTTGAGAAGACTGAAAAAAGGGAGGATAGAAAATGAGGAGGTAACCAGAAGTTTTTAATACTACAAAACCCAAAGAAGGAGAATATTTTAAAGAGGAAGTAGAAAACAGAATCAAAAGACACAGAAATGTCAAGTAAGTTAAAAGGAAAAGTGCCCAGTGAATGTAGCAAGGTGGTGATCATGGCAAGTAGTGACTTTATTGCAAGTAATTTTAATTAAGTGATGAGAATAGCAACCAGATTGTAGTTGGCTGAGCAAAAACAAGGGCATATCATTCTTTCAAGAAGTTTCCTATAAAACAGGGAGATATAATGACTGCTTTAGAGGAATTGAAAACAAAAGGAAGGTCTCATGGATCAACAATGGAGGTGTTGGAGGAAGCTGCAGAGGGGATGGTAATGGTAATGCAAAGGTTGTGGCCCTTGAGTGGTAAGGGTGGTGGTGATGAAGGTGTAAAGGAGGTGGAGGTAGCAGAATTGGTGATAGAGAAGCTAGTGGCAGTGGCGCTGGTGGTACAGCTGATGATGGGGTGGTGGTGTTAGTCAAGGTGAAGGTGGTAGTGGTCTTGGTAGAGGGGGTGGTGGTGATGATGATGGCAGAAATGGAAATAGTCATTTTAAATTCAGGAGACACTTGTGCATGTTTATCTACTAAGTTAAAAGACCAGGGACTATTAAGAGAAAAAATGATAATAATTGCATTGGTCTCAAAGGAAAATAGACAGGAGTATTAGAACACAGATTATGGAAATAAATGGCAAAACTATATGCCATAGTTAAAAGTCTCACACCAAACTATATGCAAATGTGTCATGAAGTTCTGTACCTGCCTTTCTGCTTTTGTACTTAGTGATCTACCTGCTGCCTAGAATACCCTTTCTACCTCCCATTGTAAACATATTAATTCTTAATCCTTTTTCAAAATAGGACTTAGAATCTACTTCTTCCAGGAAACCTTTTCAAATACCCTCCCTGTTTTGATTAAGATACCTGTCCTTGGGGTTCCCAGAATATGCTGTCCATGGTCCATCACACAATTTTCAAACTAAAGTGTAATTGTTTTAATTTCTACTAGAATGTAGGATCCACAAAAGCAAATACCACATTCCATAAAGCTTTCATTTATTCACTCAACAAAACTAACATATTACTATTAATAATAAAAATCTATTGAGCACTTATCGAACGGAAAATCATAGTAGGAAAATTTTAACCTGTTGTCTGCTTTTGTAAATAAAGTTTTATTGGAACACAGTCACATTCACTTTCTCATTGTTTGTCATTGTTTGTGGCTGCTTTCACACTACAACTTTTGTGAGGCAAGTAGTTGTGATAAAGCCTATATGGCTTGCGGATCCTAAAATGTTTACTATCTCACCTTTTACAGAAGTTTGCCAATCCCTACTTTAACCAATAAAGGCACAAATAATGACTCAATCCTATCCTACAGAAGTCTGTACTTCAGTGGGGACATCCAGGAATTATAGTAAAATATGATACATATTTTGATAGTGCACATTAAAAATGCTACAGGAACATATAGGAGAAGCACTTGATATATTCTTTGGAAAAATCCAGAATTTTGTATATTTAGCATCTAACACTATCTAGCATATTGGAGGATGGTCTATAAGCAGACCAATTTTTTTCCAAAGGAGAAAATTTATTTATCATATGCAATACTTGAGGAAGACTCTAAGGTATACATTTGAGTAATTATTCAAAAGTCTACTGATATTTGTACCACAAGAGAACTAAATTAGGATTTCATTTAGTTATATATCATTATTGTAAAGATAAATGTTATACAAATATTTCAGACTTTAAATCTGTTCCAAAGAGATAAGGTTCTAGCTTGGTCTCCCCATTTAAAAAAAAATAGTAACTCTGATTCTGGCCTTTGGAGGTAAAAGCCTGACTTAAATACTTGCTGACAGTTGGGAGACTTTCATAATGTTCATATTATTTCAGAATTCTTCAGAAGATTTTATTGTGAATATTTAATGCTGTCACCTTATCTAAAAATAAGTACTTAATACCCCCTTGATTTCCTCTTTATTTTACACATTACCATGCACTTACACATGCACACCCCCCCACACACACACACACACAAGCAAGCATATTTTATACCCAATATCATCTCACATAATACATACATCTATTATACATACAGAACCCATATATCCTTCACACATATATCTTTGAGAAATATGCACCAAACCCAAATCTAATGCATGCATATTTATATAGATTTATTTTAATTAGAGATGGCAAATAGGTTCTGTTGAAAGGTCAATGCCATTCAATCAAGGGTCTGCCTGTGGCACTGTGTTGAGAAAGCTGGTGAGGGCACCTTTGAGCACACAAGAACTTGGATTGTGATTCTTTTGTGATATTGGCCTTGGACACCAAAGTTAAAATGGAGGCTGAGTCAACTTATTTGCCATCCTTTCCCTTAGGAATCTCACACATTGACAGATATTTTTTGAAAGTATACTCTTGCTGCAAGATTACCACAAGTAAATGAACTGTGATTGGTGCTCCCAAGAATTGAGGCAGGTGGAAAAGTTCTTGGTGGAGATGACCTTGATGGAGAGGAAAGAGATAACAGTAACTTAGATTTGCAAGGCATCTCATCACTTTCAAAGTAACCTCATGAGTTTTACCCCCCACTGGATCTCTGCAACTTACTTAGCTTTATAGATTACAAATCTAAAGTAAGCAGGGCTCAACGAAATCCTTGGGGCTTATAAATTCAAACATGATCATGTAGAATTTTGGACAAAGATAAAAAGCAGAGAGCCAAATCCCAAACGAAGATACCTTCAGGTATAGAAGACAGCTTCCCAGGAAGTGGAGGAAACCCACTGCTCTGAGGTAAAAATGATTAGGAGTTATCAATGATTATGAGGATGCTTTGAGTATTGTTACAAGATGTTTTGGAGAAAAATTATGTTATAATGCAAAGCAAGAACTTACAATAGCATTAGAAGAATTAAACAAATATTCAAGGTAACAAATGTATAATAAACATTACTTTCCATGTGCCGCAGTCTGGCTGGGCACAATCAGGAGTCACTTGTCAAAAGAAACTAACTTTATTTTTAGAACCACACACGCCAAACAAAACAGCCTCTCAGGAAAAACCCTCAGAGCCTCAACTGCCACCACCGGCTTTCCACAAGCCTCTCTCTCCCACACAAGCTTCTCTCCACCTCCCACAATCCTCCTGCTCTTGAGGCCGATTGGCTGGGTCACGTGGGCGGAGCCAAAAAAGTCCCCCAATGAGCAGCTCTGTGGTCTGAAAGGGCAGGGAAACAGCCCAATGAGCATCACCGCAGAGGAGCCAATCAGCTAGATGTTGCTGGGGCTGCTGTGAGCCAATCATCAGCTGGCAGCTGGAAGTTTGCTGGCAGCTGGAAGTTTGCTGGGGCCCCTTCGGCTGTGGCTCTCAACATCTCCCCCTCTCTGTTTAAACAACAAGCATGTGGCTTAGGGACCGTGCCTGCCTTAGGTTGTCCAATAGTACATATGGTCCTTAGGTTGGTACCATTGCAATTGGATCTTACCCGTCACTGACTACCGGTCCAGTATACAGCCACACCTGTGGAGAGGTCTTTGTACCAGCGGGGGGGGTGAGGTTCTTTGCCTCATCTCTGTTGGCCCCCACATTTTAGCTGGACGATCATGACAAACAGAAGGGAGGAAGATACACCAAGCCAATTGACGGCTCCTTTTGGAAAAATTGTACCACCAATGACATCATCAGCAAAAATACCCCAACACTACCACAAGTCGCTGCACCAACAGATAGTTCACAATGCATACAGGTGAGCTCACAATGTGTCCAGGCAAGTTCTGCAAGCAGTTCAGTGATGGCTATTGTAGAAGCTGTAGATTGGTTTTATCTTTCACTTCACCAGCACTGGGATGAAGATAGGAATTCTGGCAATAATGGCTAAAGAAAAAATTATGTAACATTACAGAAGGCACTAAAAGAAAACAATTTTCTTAACAATTTACATTGTCTTCACCGGCACTGGGATGAAGATAGGAATTCTGGCAATAATGGCTAAAGAAAAAATTATGTAACATTACAGAAGGCACTAAAAAGAAACAATTTTCTTAACAATTTACATTATCTTTAAGGAATTATTAAATATAATGAAAAGGAAAGGTGAAAGTAAACAAACAGATCTGTTAACCTTCTTTTTTGTTTACATATTAAAACAATCCTCAACAGTTGTTTACCCAATTTAAATTAAACCATATAAATCACGTGAAAAAAAAATATTTGGATCCATTTTATCATGAGCGCTCATCATATATGATATATGGACATACATACATTCAAACATATAACACAAAACACAAGTGTGCACACATAATATAATACATACAACACACAACATTATAGTAAAGGCCTTATAACTTTTTACAGGTGAAATCTCCATTGCAATGTTTAAAAACTCTATAGTCAAAAAATAGAACTGATCAGCAAAACATTAACCTAGGTCTGTATGAGCTCAAAAAACAAAATAGAACTTCATGATATGGCAAAGGGCAATAATAAAATAGATATTGAAAAAAGCATCCTGGTTCTGTTGCAGATGTAAGAATAGCCAAACTGGAGTTTTGGATATCAGTTGTTATGGATTTGAGCCAAATCATCTTCTTTTTGGTCTGTAGAAATCGCTTTAGCTAATCTTTCTGGAATCCAAATCGGCTGCTGTTCTCCCTGTGGAAACACATAAACAGACCCCCGACTCCAGACAATCACTGGGTCAGGACCTTGGTTAATCTCTCTGGAATCCAAATCGGCTGCTGTTCTCCCTGTGGAAACACACAAACAGACCCCCGACTCCAGACAATTACTGGGTCAGGACCTTTCCATTGTCCTGTTAGAATATCCTTCCAAAGTACCTTGGGCTTATGCACATTTTTTGGACACATATGCCTTTCCGCAGCACTAAGTCCTGATGAATCCAAATTTAAAAAGTTTAGAGTAAAAAGGGTTATTTTAAGTTTATCTTTGGGGAATATATACCCCTTCCCAATTCCTTCTTTTTGCTTTAATAAGTACATTTTAATAGTTTGATGAGCTCTTTCAACTATGCCTTGTCCCTGTGGATTGTATGGGATTCCTGTTATATGAGTAATGCCAAATGTTGAGCAAAATTGTTTAAAAGAGGTAGAAGTATAACCAGGGGCATTATCTGTTTTTAACTGTTTTGGAACACCCACAGTGGCAAAATTTTGTAAGCAATGAGCTATAACATCTTTAGTTTTTTCTCCGGCATGAAGGGAGCCCATCAAAAATCCAGAAGAAGTATCAACTGTAACATGCAAATATTTTAATTTTCCAAATTCTGGCAAGTGTGTGACGTCCATCTGCCAAATATGGTTAGGTATCAATCCTCTAGGATTGACTCCAAGATTAACTTGTGGTAAAAAGGTCACACAATTTTGACATTGTTTTATTATTTGTCTAGCTTGTTCCTTAGTTATTTTAAAACGCTTTTGTAAAGTATTAGCATTGACATGGAACTTTTTATGAAAATTTATAGCTTCTTCTAGTGTAGAGAAAATATGTATGTCATGTGTAGTTTTATCTGCTAAATCATTGCCCAAACTAAGGGCTCCAGGCAATCCTGTATGTGCCCTGATATGTCCTATAAAGAATGGATCTTTTCTGTCCCAGATTAGACTTTGTATAGTGGAAAGCAAAGAGAAAACAGTAGAAGAAGGGGAAATCCTACCAGCATCTTCAAGAGATACTATAGCATTAACTACATACTGACTATCAGAAAATAAATTAAATACAGAATCTTTAAACATCACAAAAGCTTGTAAAACTGCATTAAGCTCTACCTTTTGAGCTGATTGTTTGGGTACTAAAAATGTAAAAGTTTGATCAGGGGTAACTACTGCTGCTGTACCATTATTTGACCCATCAGTGAATATATTTGGAGCATTCATGATAGGTGTTTTTCTTATCATTTTTGGAAAAATTACAGGATGCAATGACCAAAAAGACAATAAAGGATTAGATGGTAAGTGGTTATCAAATGAAACATTAGATTTGCACATGATTATTGCCCAAGTATTTAACTCATTAGCTAACTCATCAATTTGATTCATAGTATATGGAGTAATAATTTTATTGGGAGAAATTCCAAACACTCCCTTTGCTGCTTTTATTCCTTTGAGTATTAATTGTCCTACAGCCTCAGGATACCTAGTAAGAATAGTATTAGGAGAATAAGATAAATGTATCCATAATAATGGACCTTCTTGCCAAAATACTCCTGTAGGAATATTTTTTGTTGGTAGTACAATAAATAATAAAGGCAAACTTATATCAATTCTATCCAAATGCATATTTTCCATATATGTTTCAATGATTTTTAATGCCTTTCTTGCTTCAGGCGTTAACATTCGGGGTGAATTTGGATCTAATGGATCTTTTAGGATATCAAATAAAGGTCCCAACTCTCCTGTTGGTATACCTAAATAAGGCCTTATCCAATTTATGTCTCCTAATAACTTTTGAAATTCATTAAGTGATTTGAGTTGATCTACTCGTATTTGAATTTTTGGTGGACGGACCATGGTTGAGGATAATAGAACTCCTAAATAATTAATTGGAAAATTTAATTGTACTTTATCTATTGCTATCTCTAGATTATAATTTTTTAATAAGTTTGTAAGTGTGGCATAACATTCTAGCAATGTGTTTTTATCTTTGTGTGCTAATAATACATCATCCATATAGTGAAATATTTGTAGTTCAGGATTTTGATTTCTAAGTGGCTGGATTACTTTGTTAACATAAATTTGACACATAGTTGGGCTGTTAGCCATCCCTTCAGGGAGTACTTTCCATTCATATCTCTGATCAGGACCTTCATGATTCAGTGCAGGGATAGTAAATGCAAAACGTGGACTATCCTCAGGATGAATTGGAATTGAAAAAAAACAATCTTTAATATCTATAACTAAAACATACCAGGTTTTTGGCAAAGCAGACAACTGAGGAATCCCTGATTGAGCAGGTCCCATAATAACCATCTCATTATTAATGGCTCTTAAATCTTGCAATAATCTCCATTTACCAGATTTCTTTTTGATGACAAAAATGGGAGTATTATGGGGAGATACAGAAGGTTGTATATTTCCTTCTGCTAATTGTTGTTTGACCAGGTCATGGGCTGCTTGTATCTTTTCTTTAGTCAGGGGCCACTGAGGAACCCATACTGGTCTTTCTGATTTCCAAGTAATTTTTATTGTCTCAGTGGCCCTTCCTGAAAATCCAACCCATGTCTTTCTGTTCCTTGATCTATTTGTATTGGTGCTGCTATACCTTGTTCTTGTTTTTCTAATCTTTTTCCTTTCCTAAAACCTTGTCTAGTCATAATAGTGGGTGCATTTTGGTTGATGTTATTTGTTAATGTCAAACCTAATTGATCTAGGACATCTCGTCCCCATAAATTTACGGGAAGATGATCCAATACATATGGCTGTATAGTTCCTTCACATCCTTCAGGATCCTTCCAATCTAATACCATTGCACTTCTATGGGGAT